GACGTAGCCATTCAGCCCGTCAATACGCAGCATGATGCGGGCATTACAACCCACCCAGTTTGACACCCTACGCCTCATTACCGGCCCGCCATCGCATACTGTTGTATTGATTGCTGTATGGTGCTTATATCCTTCCCTCGAGCACACCAGGTATTTCTAGAGAATTGTCTTGTCACGTGATTTTATCAAGGTGCTGTGCCTCACATCGAAACCAACAATGAGAGCGTATCTTTTGTAGAAATCGATAGCTTCGTGTAATTCCCGAAACCTCTGCCCGTTGTAAGGTTTGTCCGATTCATCACATTCTGGTATCCAATATTTAGTTCCGCCGGGCGTGACCGCAAATTGATGGTGCGTAGGGGCTGTTGGTGATCCTTGAGTACCTGTGTTGAAAAAACAAGAATGGTCAATTGACTGCACATCTGTCATAAGACAATTGCACATTAATATTCAACAAGTTGCACATTAATATTCAACAGGTTGCACAATAATTCAACAGGTTGCACATCAATTCGACAGTTGCACATTAACTCATATGACACACATGAAGTACTGCACGTCCTGCTATTTTGTGTATGAGTAAAGCATTCTATAAACATCAAGCTATTGTCTCCATACTTGGCTATCCAACACAAAAAATACTTGTCTGTGATTCACCAGAATCCATTTTGTATGCAGCTCAGCCGACTGAAGGTTTCAACAACCTAAAGAAACATAAACAAGACATGTAGACAGCTGATTTATATCTCTATATGTAGAATTCTAAATCTGTGATATATGGTGTTGCTTCATAAACAAATCAGTAATTGTACTAAATTACAATGAATAATTGAACTAAATTACACTTGAATAAACAAAGCACTAAGATGATATACCTAATTTAGGAATTATCGTCGCCGTGAACGGAGTTGTGATCGGAATTTTGAGATCGGCCAAAATTATGTCTCGCACAGGAGAAATCGGTCGCGAGAAAGTTGAGAATCCAGTTACGAATTCAAGGATGATGATCGATAAGCTCGAAC